TTTTTTCCTTAAAATAAAAAATATAAACATAAAACATAAATATCTAAATATAAAAAAATTAAAATATCTCTATGTAATTGGTTAAGTTGTTGTTATACTAACGGATACAAACAAAAAAATATATGTATTAATTACTTGATGTAACACTATTAATGATAAATAAAGAATATTTCAAAAAGCAAAACCCCAGGGCACTCTTCCTCGAGCCAGCGGCTGAGTACCAGGGAACTCGAAAGCTAGCTCATGGAAACTAAAAACGTAAGAAAACTTAGTGCTCAAGAAAGAAGATTCGATTTCGACATATTTGGATAGTCGAAATCTCCGACCAGTCAAGGACAGCAGTGCAACCCGGAATACCGTGGATATGAATCCAACTACCGCCCGACCAGTCAAGGATACCAGTAAAACCCGGAATACCGTGAAGATCTTTAGGACAACAGAAGATACCCGATATTGGAAATTTACCTTATAATTTTATTTTATTAACTTGTATATTTATTGATAAATAAATATCCATTTAATTATTTCTCTTGAAAATAATCTGAGGGTATAATTTTGAGAAACCTACCACCGTGAATCCTGGCACCCGATGAGCTCATCCCGGATTAAATATAAATATTATTATGTTGATCGTTAGTTTTGTTTAGAAATAAGCAAAATAAACGTTACAAGATACATAATATTGTAATTTTGAGTATTTAGAAATCAAATGCACAATGTGAAAATATTAAATAATAATAAATTTATTTTAACTTTTATTCATTTTTTAGAGATAATCTAAAAGTCAGGCTTAACGCATGATATAATTTTTTATTTTCTTAATGCATGATATATTTTGTGCGTTTCTTCACTTCAATTACAATTTTTAACCTCAAATAACTCAAACAGATATCAATTTTCTATAAAAATTAAAAATGATTTCATGAGAATATCAATTTTTTTTCGTTCTTTCGAATACTTATTTACTTACGAATTTCTGCACATACATAGTTCTCAATCTCAAATTACAAATTATTCCCATGTTAATAAGACGTCAAGTGGCATCAACAACTTTAAATGAAGTAAAAAATGGACAATTAACAAATTCTATCATGCGTTAAGGATAACTTATTTTAAGGATGCAAGATTATGTCTAAAAAATGAATAAAAGTTGAAATTAATTTCCCGAGTCGAAATTTGAGTTCCGTTTTGACGGTACTTTTTTCCAACTTAACTTTCAGATAATTTTACCATCAAACCAGACGTTATATCATTGAGTGCTTCATGAGCGTACGTCTGGTTTAACGGTAACTTGGGGAGTTTTTTTCCTATTCTGACGTGTTTACCATTAAACCAGACGTTAAATAATCATAATACTAACCATAATAATAATAGTAAAAATATTTTAAAATGGCTAGCGATTCGGGATCGAATCCCACTCGGATCCTTTTTTTTTTTTTATTTTTAATGAAATAATAATCATAACACCTGATATTTTCAATGCATAAATAAATAAATAAATATTTCAACGAATAGAGAATCCGAACATTATTATTAAGATAATTATAATTATTATTAAATTATTAATATATAAGGCAATATTAAATGTGACTCCAATACAAAAAATTGTACTGACATGGGACTTTTTGTTTTTTCTTATATTGTTGTGAGTCATGAAGGCAGCATTCGCGATAGTTATTGCATGTACTAGAACATATGTATTTACTAATTAACTAACTTATGGATACCTTAGATATAAATAACAACCGAAAAACCGCAACGCCCGGGTTCCGAACCTACGTCTAACGCTCGCCAGTCTTATACACTATCCGCAATGCTACGCAACCGAGTTGTACCTAAAGACTTCAGTGATTTCATATAAATTATATAGTCTAGTCGAGAAGCGAGTTTTCTGCGAAAAATCGTTACAATGCTCTTAAAAATATGGCGATTGGTGCGTTGGATTCAGAATTTAATTCTGAGAAAGTGTATTTTTCAATTTATCCGCCATTAAAAATTTTATTTGTTATAAACAAAAAACGAAGAGAAAAAAAGAGAGTCTTCGTTTTGTAGCTATAACTTCAAAAATATTGAAGTTATCTGAAATTTGAAAAAAGATCCTAAAAGAGTAGAAAATTTTAGTAAAATAAGTCTTGACTCGCGGAGTTGTAGCTCCATTATTTATAATTTTAATTTAACGTTGAAACTTGGGCTCCGCGTGGCCGTTACGGGGCCGAGGCGTCGCCGCCAAACAAAGTATGCAACACAAAATAATATTTTGATAACATTCAATATTAATTTAAATATCTGAATAAATTATAGTGTCATCTAGAGACTTGAAGGAATATAGCCCCGCAAAAAAAAAA